ATAACTGGCCTGGCATTTCCTGGGGGCTCCCACGCCACTGAGAGCCCCACCAGGCCACCCACTCCCAGCAGGGTGCAGTTTCAGGCCATGTCCAGGACCAGGAGCCTCCTTACCAATCTCTTGCAGCTCTCCCTTACCTCCAGGTTGTTCTTAGCAACCCTCTAGCCAGGCAATATTACTACCTGGCCTCCAACAGCCAAACTGCCCTGCTTATATAGGCAGCCCTTGCCTCTAAAATTGCTGGCCCCCTCCCGCCCCCCAGCTCCAGGCCCTTAAAGTGGCAGGCACACCCAGTGCACTGCCACACACCTCCCCCCTTAGAACATCACTGCCCCCTCGCTGGGGCCACTTCACCGCCCCCTTTCAATGGGGCTTCTCGTCGCTCATCCTAATGCCCCCTCACGCTGGGGCCCCGCAACCCACTGGTTGCTCTCATCGCTGCCCCCTCTCACTGGGGCCGCCCCCTCACTGGGGCCGGGGTCTCCGTACCCCGCACACAACCCGGGGTCTATGTTCCCCGCCCGCAACCCACTGGTTGTGCTCATCACTGCCCCCTCTCTTGGGGCTTCTCTTCTTATCGAGCCTCCGGTCTTCTAGGCCCCACGCTGCTACCCTCAATTAACTGGGCTCACCGTCCTGCTATTACTTCTCCCGAAGCTACCTTCCCCTCTCGGGTGTGGTTCCCCTGGAACCTTTGGCCTCTTTCGCTGGCCTCCTGGCCCTGGCCCACCTCAAAGCCAGTCGGGACCCCAGGCCCCCGGCTCTTGGGCGTCCCTCACAGTGGGCCCCTGGCCCTTTTGACCCTCGTGGTCCTGGCCCCAGCGTGGGCCAGTCGAGGGTACTCTCTCCTTCGGGCTGACCACCGCAGGACCCTGCCCCCCTTGAGGTCTATTGCTGTGCTCGCCTACCACCGGGCTCGATGTACGGCTCCTCTCGTCGCTGTCCCCCTTTCAATGGGGCTGGGGTCCATGCACCCCACACGCAACCCACTGGTTGCAAGTGGCAGGCACACCCAGTGCACTGCCACAGCAACCATCAATCCTCTGGATCCCAAACAGGCCTGACTTATCCTTGAGCTCAGCTTAGGGCACTCTTGAGAGAGCAGCTACTGGGGATGACCCAGGAGCATACTGGATAGGTATCAATGTGCTTCCAGGTTTCTAACGTATCTGTGCAATTGGTTGAGCAGGGTGTGCTGGCCAGGAGACCTTGTTGCAGTAGGGTAGATGAACCGTGTGGAATTTGGAAGATGACATTATTGTGTTACTTTATGCCCAAAAGCCCCTTCATCATGAGAAAGTGCAAGGGGAACTGCATAGGGAACTGCAGCTTTAGAAAAACTTTCCTTCCTCCATGTGCATCTCCACTCAAAGGTAGGATTTGGAGCATATTTACTAATCTGACAACTTGCACAGTGGCGGTGACTAATAGTTCCTTGAAGTAGACATTGCTATTCTTCACATCTGGATTCCTCCTGCTTTATTCCAAAAGCCCTTGTCACTTTTCTTAATTAACTGATTCTCATCTACTGGAAAATAAATTTACGCATTAAAAGAGAGGGAAATGAAACTAATGATCCTGATATGACCAAGCAATTACTGAACTGGTTTCAGACAATCAGGAATTAATGAACATGATGTAAATTCTGCTGTTGAATATTTTAAAGCTGGGAATATGGGCAAATAAATCATCAGAGCTAGATAGTGTACTCTCTGGGGGGGACTGAGGGAAATAACCACAGATTTTTCTAGGAATGATGTCTGAAGAGAAAAGGGGAGTGTGTGTGTGTGGGGGGGTGGGGAGGGGGGTACTAGAGGATTTCAGAAAGCAAATATTATGAATTTTAAATGAAACCTACCAAAGCTATTGACTAATTCCATAGCACTGTCAGTACTGAATGCTGATATGAATTGGTATATTTTGTGTCTGTGTGATCGTTTAGGGTAGGCATCCATTGAAATAAAGGAAATGTAGGGAGTATCTACATATTGCCCTATGGTGATATTGTTACTGCAGCATACTTTAGTATTTCCTTTTGGAAGTACTAAAGCATGGTGCAGTAACTGCTGTGCATGCAGTACAGTTTTTATCGCTACTTTGCCATAGCAGCATGCTAAAATGAGGGAGTATGCTGCTACCGCAAAGTAGCTGCTGATCATGTGTAAACTCACATGATCGCTGTCATTGTAGTGCTTCATACAGTGATGCAGAGCTTCACTACAGCAACGTAGGGCGATGTGTAGATGTGCCCATAGTATTACAAATGGTGGAGAGGAGCAGGGGCACATGACAGTTAGCCCTCAAAGCCAATCAGTGGCAAGGGATGGGAACACCATCTATCTTGCCCGCAGCCCTTCTAGTGGGCAGCCCCCTGCTTCCCTGCCCTGCTGGGCTGCTGCAGTGCACTGAGAATTGCTGAATCCCTCTGAGAAGCCAGCATTTTCTTTTCTGTAAGTTTTTTTTTTCTCCTGAGGATTTCACAGATTTTGCAGACATTGCCCAGATTTCATGGGCAATACTGGATTTTGTGGACTTTGCAAAACAATGTAGTGGCTCACCATGACTGGAAAAAGTGTTGATGCTGAGGGGGACTGAGAGAAATAGACACTACCATATATTTTATTCAGACATGCTGTATTAACTTGTCTTGATGGGAGGTTTCCCATCACCATCTTTGCCTTTTGGTTAAGATCCTGCATTTTTCTGCTCTTGATGTTGGCCTGGTATTGCAGTACTACCAAGCTCAGTGCCAGGCCTCTGGAGAGAGAACCTCTACCTACTTACCTGCTTTTTTTTAAGGGCTGAAAAAATTTCCCATCAGTATGTTTGCCCAATGTGGGCTATGTTTTTTATAGTCATGCTCAGTGTTGGTGTTGTCCCCAAAGGACAGTGAGTTCGTGCCCAGTGCGCTTGTGCCAATAAACACACAGGGGTGAAGGATCCAACTTAATCTTTATTTCTGCGCAGAAAGTGGCGCTTGGCAATCGTTCGCAAAGCAAGCACCCCCACCCCAGTGGGCATCAGCCTTATATAGCCTCTTTTAGCCTTACACACTGTACAGTCTCTATAGGTTGCCCCTTTTGGTCCATGCACACTTTACCCTAGCTACAGACCCCTCCCTAATCAGTTGGAACTGCCTTTGTGACAGTATAATTCGCTGATGTGGCATCTGTTATTCAGCATGCTCAGCCAGCAACCCCCCTTTCCACCCCCTTAGGGACCTTGCTGATATGGCTTTACTTCTAGCAAGGCCAGCAATTAAGTAACTAGGCAACAAGAGATGTCTCCTAGCCTAAACAACCTACTCTATGCCCTTGGTTAGATAAAATACTTTTTCAAAACCTACAAAGCTGTTCCCAAAGTATAAAAAAAAACCTATAAAAGTTTCAGGGGTACTCATCATTGGCTGCATTTAATCAACCTCATAGTTGGTTTCTATTACTGAGTTTAATGATAGACAATGTATTTAATGAGGTTTCTTTGTATGCAAGCATAAAACAAGGAACTTTTCCCCCATACTGCTTGAGGAAACAAACCTCTTCTTATATTCAAGTAAATATGGTAAATTCAGCCCATGATAGCTTCTGTTACCTGCATCTCCCTGAGTATTCAGTCTCAGTCATGTGTACATTATTGTGCTTACACTTCCATGTAACAGTGAGTTGAGTCCTTAAGACTATGCCGTAAGAAGTTAGTCTTACAGAACTGCCTTTCTTTTAAGAGAAGGGAAGCCCTTAAGGGTAGAATCAGATTCAAATGTTCATTTGATTTACATTGTTAATGAGAACTGTCAGATTCAGCCATGATGGATGTTGGATGTAACATCACTTTGTAATATATACTCAATGAACTGCTTGGCATGCTGGTCACTCAGAAAGAAATGAGCTGCATCTGGCCCACTTTATCTGGTCCTTTGGCACAAATAAGCTGTAGCTGTACTGGCTCTGCTTCCTGGAGTATTTCTCCTGCACTGTAGAGCCTTAAGGTATCTTGCTGTTTAGTAGAATCCTTTGCTTTCAGCTAGGTGTTCAGGCACATGAGGAAGGGTTCCTCAGGCATCAAATGAGGGTGACAGTCATCTACCTTAGCCATGAATGAAAGGTAGAAGGAAAGGCAGGATTTAGATGTCTAAGCTGAACATTCAGATTCCACAGCTGTGAGCTCCCACCTGGAATTAGGAGCTAAAATCAGATCAATCTGCTTTCCTATTTGCCAAGAAACTGAGACCCTCCCAAGGGATCAGCGGTTCAAATCCCTGCTCTGCCTGATTTTGGTGTGAGAGACAACCACAGGATTATTAATTATTTTGGGATGGGTTGTTCTTGCTGAAGCTGTTATGCTTTGTAGAAATAACTAGTCACTGGGTTGGAGGGACACCTGGGATGTGAGACAGATAGGTTCAAGCTTCTCCTCCAATAAACTTTCTTTTAATAGTTAATAGAAAGCAAAATAGCTCCATCAGGAGTGGTGAAGAGTGTTCCATCTCAGAGTAGCCAATAGTTTGGTGGTTAGAGCATTGCCTGAAGTAGTTGAGACCTTTGTTCAATTCCTTCTCCAAATCAGGCAGAGTAGGAATTTTAACTGTTTCCCTCATCCCACAGGAGTATTGCCTGCCATTCCCATACTCTGTCATGTTGGCTGTGTTTGCCTTAGGTGCGTTCTGAATATTCCTAGCAAATCAGGCCCTGCTGGTGACCTAAACAAAAGAACACCTTGACTGGAAATCCTCCTGTGGGGTCTAGTGAGCTTTTGCTTGAATATTAGCTTAAAGCAGCTCACTAGCTATAGGGTGTCATTAGGGCTCAGATAGCTTTACATATGCTGATTGATGGGGGGTTAAGCACTTAGGGGGTTAAGCAGCAGGTGAGTGGTGGTTTTGAGAATGTCATGGGTGCCTAAATGCCAGTGTTAGGTTTGTAAGTACCTTTAAAGATCACCTCTCTGTATAAACACATTAAACAGGAAACATTTTAGAATTGCCAGCAAAATTGCTATTACTGCTGTCTTTAGCCATTAAAACACACAAATGCAGTTAAGTTGTTGTTCTCTCAAACATTTAAATTTGCTAATGAAGCCTCTCTAAAATTAAAAATTGTTGCATGCATATTAAGTTGTCAGGGGAATGCTCAAGTATTGAGCTAATTAGAGCTTGTGCCAGACCCAGGTGCTGTCAGCT